TGCTTGGATCTCAAGATATAATTTTGTGATTACATGCCCATGAACTAAAATAACTTAGTGAAATTTTGCCCTAATTTAGGCAGGTTTGGACCCAACTTCATGGAAATTTTTCACCTAGTTCCAAGAGGAATCTTGAAATGCATTTCAAAGATGAGTTATAGAGCACATTGCAAGATTTCCAAATTGTCCAAGAAATCCTTGAGATCATTTTTTAGTAGGGAGAATCGAAGAGATGAAATTGGCAATTTCTCACTTTGAATTCAAGCCATTTCATGAAGAACAAAATTCAAATCTGAACCTATGCTGCCTAATTCTTGCTTTACAGGTCTCAAACTTGTTTTTCACTTCATAATTTAATGCTTACTCAGTTGACAAAGCCTTAATCCAAGCCCAAGGGTCTTTGTCTAAGCTTTAATTCCATAAATGGCACAAAGTTGCCATTGCCATTTTGGAAAAGCTTAACTTTTGCAACTTTTCAATTCTTGAGCATTGGACCTGTCTTCTCTGCACACACAAGTCCTACAAACCTAAAGCAATTTGTATAGAGCTTGTACCAACTCCAAGCAGGCCAGTACAAGCATGTAGAGACTTGTCCCTTCACTTTGCTTCAAAGGCAAGAAAGAGTGCAAAAGGGCTACAACTCATAAATCTGTTGAGGATTGGATTGGAAACTTTCTCCATACTAATACACAAACATATTACAGCTTAGAACAGGATTGCAAAGGTCCAAAAACACTCAAAAACTCCCTCTTACCAAAAACCTGTCAAAAACCTGCAGTTTGAGCATAAGCATAGCAATCCACAAATTCACTCGTGTGTTTCAAGTTTTAATCACTCAAACACTTTACCTAACTCATATCTAAGTGTTCCAGACCATCATCCCTCCACTGTAACACCTCCTTCTCCATCTGCCATTTTTGTTTTTCAAGCTTGCAGGTTGACTTGGATAGAGAATTTCAGACACTTTCAAAGCATGGTAAAGATTGGAACATACTCAGGGAGGTTCAAGCAAGCTAAAGGAACCTTCAGGCCTTCCTAAATCTCACTCAAATTCCATTCACGATCTCAGCTGAAAGAGGTAAGAATTATAACTTTTATCTCTTCATACAGGCATCCATTGGCCACGATTTGTGAAAGAAAAATGTAGATATTATAGTGCTGAAGCCAACCATGTGCATAGATTTCATTTCTGTTCATTATGTGTAGAGAATTTTGGAATTCAAATTTCTGTAAAAATTAGGTTTAAAATTAGGGATTTCAAAATTCATTTTAATCTTTGATTGTTAGTTTCCATAAGTTACATGTCTGAAATCGTAGGAAAGAGTACTATCATTTTCATGTTGGAAGTTTCCATTTTCATGGAGAGATGATAAAGATACAGAGCTTCTGGCCAGCTTGAGGAAGAAGATGAAGTACAGGGCAAGGAAGCTTTTTTTTACGTTATGTTTTTATTGTTTCATATAAACTAACGGATGTACAGCCACCCCAGTGGCAAGGTAGTACGCTGGCAATGCCCAGGTCATGGGTTCGACCTTGGCGCTACCTTTTACATTTTTCTCATTTTTTCAGCTTCAGTTTTGGCATTTTTGGCAGTATAGGCTTGGTTCTTGGGCCTTCTTTTTTGTTTTTTAACACACTACCCCCTGTTTGCTTGCAGCACCCCTGGCCCAATCTTTTTATTATTTATTTTATTTTTCATATTTGTTTTATTAAAATATTTTCTTTAACACATAAAAATCATAAAAAATATAAGTATGATAAATATTGCATTTTTATTTTATTTTATTTTATTTTCACATAAAACATATATTTTAAATATATACTAACTATCTTCCTTAAATAAATTTGTAAAAATAAATTAAACTTAGATATATTCTTTTTTTATATATGTATACTTGTAAATATTTATTTTAATATATAAAAAAAAGGACTAAATATTTTTCATAAATATTATTTATTATTTTCAATACAAAAAATACACAAAAAATAATACTTAAAGAGCTTTATTTTCTTTTAAATTAGAAATTAGGGTTAACCATCTTTAAGAAATAATTTCCTTTTTTAAAATATTTTTAGGATTAGGTCAAGATTTCTTTTGCATAAAAACAAAACAAAATATTTTTTTTCTTGCATATACATACATTGCATATTTAAATTATATTGTATATTGTTTATTTAAATATTTGTACAAATTCGATTTACTTGTAATAGCTTAATTAGATTTACATTATTGCAAATCCCCATTCATAATTTGTATTCCCCCCTCCCGTAAAATGTTGTAATAGCGTAGTAATCTTTAAATTACGCAATTTATCGCTTTTACATACCATGATAGTAATTAGGGTTTGAATGGTAAGATAAAAACAAATCAAATAGAAAACCCTAAATCCAAGATAAAATCAAAGCATGAAATTAACACATTTGCACACAAGCACCCTTAGGGTTTCTCCACTTGGTTGCCTTGTATAAAAATGGCCATATTACGCATGCGAAGTATATTGGCAAAACAAACAAATACAAGATCATAGTCCCTCGATGACGCTATTCAAAGTTTCCTTACAAAAATGATCTTAGTCCCTCAAAAAATACTAAGATACTTTGCAACATTGCTAATCATGGTTATACGATGAGCCGCGCCCATCCTGTTTACATCCAAAGATAGGGTTGCTTACCAAATAAATGGTAAGACAACAATGTCAAAGGAATAGAAAATGAACAAGAAAGACATTTGAGTAGGTAGATTACTTCTAGTTACTTGCTCTATTCTCAAACAAATATCCTTGTTATTTTCAAAAACAAACACACACACATCTCCAAAATATTTTACAAACATTGAAAATATTTTCAAAAAAGACAAACATCTTTGTATACATTCTTACGAACGAGAATCATTACAAAGATTTCCTAAACAATGGCCTCTTTTACAAAATACTTTCAAAACCACATAAAGCACAATTTCAAACAAAAGCAAGTGATCTAGCAAGTAACTAAGAGCCCATGGAAAACCATGGATGAAAAGGGTGCTAATACCTTCCCTTTTCATAATCTACCCCCCGAACTCAAGAAACAATCTCAAAGGTCTTTCCTGTGCTTTTTCACCTTTCCTTTTGGATAAAAGAAAAGTCGGTGGCGACTCTTGCTAACCGCACCATTTGCGATAAAACTCAACACCCTCAAATCAGTTCTCCCACTATATCACATGCACCAAGTTCAAGATTCATCTTTATTCGTTCAAATATTTCATTCTTGAGTTCAAAATAATTGAAAAAAAGAGCAAGTAGAAACTACTTCCATGGTCATTCATATTATTCAAGTTATTCGAGTTCATCCATTCAATTTCAAACTTCAAGTGCTTTTCCATTCACCATGCTTATCTGTTGGTATACAGAAATCCTAAAGGATGCATTATGTTTCAAGAAAATTGTTATAAGATTCAAAGTGATGCTTCATTCATGAGAAATTTCCACTCAAAGTTTTAAGTGAAGAAAAGCACATTCAATGTTATCGTTCAAGTGGAAATTCAACTCGATTCTATATAAAGAAAGTTACAATTTCAATCTTATTCATGAAAGTTTTCTTCACATGGTACAAGAGAAAAGATATAAAAGCTAAAAGTCTTGACCTTATGTTATTTCTAATCTTCAAGCTAGTCACCAAAATCCTAATCGTCACCAATTCTTTCAACTATGCGTATGTGAAATAAACCTGCTACAAGCCCTGTCAGAACACACTTACAGTCTTTAAAGTAAACATTTCCAAAACCCTTGCCAACACTTTGAAAACCTGCATAACCAGAAAATTCACCATATATAAATCAGAAGCAAATAAGTTACCCAAAAAACACAATCAAACCAAGTTAGTTGAGCAGCCAAAAAAAGCTAACAAATATTAACAGAGTTCTCTTTGCTTTTCTAACTTCTAATAGAATTTTCGGACTGACTTCTACTATAACTAAATTTCTTATTATCTCTACTTAACGATACAAGGAAAAGATCAGGAATTTCAGAAGAAATACCAGTATATTCGTGAAAACAGAGAATCAGAAATAAGAAGCTTTCTGCTTCCAAGCCCAAGCTGGCTGCAAAAACCAGGCCAACTGCCAAATACCAAGTTTCACATCAAAACAAGTTGTATAATCAATTTCATGACACGCCAAAGCAGGTTATAACCAAGTTGTGCATCACAATAACTAAAAAACAATTCACGGTTTAATCATAATCAGAAAAACTCATATGAGGTGTAAGCTCATAACATAATAAATCCCAGCCATCCAGATCTCTAACAGGAGTTCAAATCAACAGTTCAGATCAATTCAACCTGTAACCAATTCCCTAACCTCTTTTCTAACTCATTCAACTAACTTCTTAACATCTCTTAACCGAAAATAACAGAAAATAAAACTAACAGAACCTCCTAACTATTTCTAACTACTTCCAACAGACCTATAACAAATAAGAGAGTAGGAGGGAGAGGGGATTCACGATCATTCATTCACACATAAAAAATACAGAAAAAACCACCACAAAAACTCTCTGAAATTATAGAAAGTTCTCTGTTCATTCTCTCTTCACTCTCTTTGAGTTCTCTTCTCATCTTCATTTCATCATTCTTTAATCACAAGGAAGAATCACACCAAAAAACTTTGAGAAATCTCTAGAGATCCCTTTGCTTCAACGATTCATTCTGCAACAAATTACATCTTTCTCTTTGAACTCTCGGAGTTTTCTCTGTGCAGCATCATCTCAACCTTCAAACTACTATGCCTTTTGTCATCACCTACGACGCAACCTCATCTTTGAAAAATCTTCATCCACACATGCATCGTTAGTAATCATCTTGCATCATCTGTGATTCTCCTTCAACCTGCGCAATGTAATTGCAACAATTCAGAACAACTCAGAAGAGGAATTCATGGCAGAAGAAGATAGAGGCGAGGAATAAAGAATTCATACTTGACTCACGCTTGAAGCACCGTCGGAGCAACTTCGACGAGTAATAATTTATTCTTCCTTCAACCACTCTTTATGAACATGTATGTATTCGTATATGTTGACAGAGTTGAGGTCGAAACTCAGAACTGAGAACAAAACCACGATGAGGCTTGAAATCGGAGAAGATTTGGATCTGCGGAGGAGTTGGTGAGAATTATGAATCTCCAAATACGCTAATGGAAGCGGAAGCAAATCGGAGACGAGAAACCACCGCGCCGGAACATCATATTCTCTAATCAGGATTGTTCCTTGCTCAATCTTGAGGTATTCTGACTCTCTTTGATGTTCACGAGCGACAATAGCACTTGAACCATGATACTTGGCCAGAAGGTACGTTGTTTTGAAGATTAGGGTTTCTCGTTCTTCTTCGTTGATTTGGCCATATGAAGGCTTTTTTTTGGAGAAATTGACGACAAATATGGATTCAGAGTGTTGTCTTAGGGTACGCACGTGATAGACCATGATGACTTGGGATGGTTTAGTGGTGGCACTCGCAGTAGCATGCTCATCAAAAATCTCCACTTTACATCGTGAAAGAGAGGGACTGAAATCTTATGAAGCTCGAGGGTCACTAACCCTAACTTGATACGACCTCGTTTTGGTCTTAGAATACCTTCCTTTCATTTTCTTGCTGATACAAACTTGAACTCCTGGATAACCCGTTGGGCCAAGATGCATGCCTAGCCCAATAATTCCTGAAGAGAACCCCCCCCCCCCAGGGAATCATCACGCCAACTTGTTTCTTTAGAGTTGGGTTGGTCCATTGAAGCCTTAGCCCAAGCGTCTTGCAAGATCTATACACACCTCTTCTTAAATCCAATACCCCCCACTGTTTCAATTTTTTGCTAATTTTCTTGTAATGTTTTACATAGTTTTTTTTGTTTTTTTAATTAATTTTGACATGTTATCTCTTTGCACAATAAGCATGATAACAATTCAAAAATATTAGAATAGAATTTTAATTCTTTTATTAATTTTGTTTGTTGTTATTTTAGCCATGTTTTCGGTAGATTTTAATGCCAATTTTTGTGTATGATTTTGAAATAAAAAGAGACTTAGGTTTGAGAAGTTTTGAAGCTAACTAAGAACGCAATCTCCATTAAGAGAAATTTAAGGAAGCACTTGGTAGAGTTTTCTTATGGCTTGCGTGGCTTTGAAGAGGCAATAGACCTTCTCTGTTAGGTACCATTGTAACTTCATTTTATTCCTTATCTCCGCACTTTATTGCATGTTACTGCTTTCTAGATATCATGAGAAGTAAGAAATAAAGAGTGTGCGCTCGAAGTCGCTGTTTAAAGACCTGTAGCAGGCATTCCTCACTTCATTTTCTATATGTGTTGTGCTTGTGTTTGTTTTCTTGGTTGTTGATCGATGAGTCACTCAATTTAGAAATTGGGATCACGACTTCGCTCTCATTGCATGCTCCCTATAGGATTTCATCACTTTCCTTGATTTCTTATTGATCGATGAGTCACTCAATTTAGAAATTGAGATCACGACTTCGCTCTCATTACATGTTCCCCGTAGGATAGTTTTGTTAGACTTTATTTGGCATGCTAACCTAGATGGGATATCTCTAGGTGTGTTCTCTTGAGCTCATTGGCTTGCTTGCTTGATTTCGTCTTTGTGTGCATGTTTTGAGATGATATACCCTCAGCATGTTCCCTTAGGAGCTCTTGATTCAACTATATCTAATGATTCGAGATAGACATAGTTTTAGGTGATAGACCCTTGTTATGCTCCTTTAGGACTTCTTGATTCATCTATAGATGATGAGTTGAGATAGACATTAGGATTGTCATCCAAGCAAGTCAACTTAGGATAGAGATTTCCCTTCAAAGCTCAACTTTAGGATCAATCATTGTATGATAACATTAGAGATAGATTTAGGTTAGTCTCCCCTTATACTTTTCTTTCTCCTTTTGCATTTGCATTAAAACAAAAACTTATTTTTCTTGCAAACTTCAAAACACTTAAAGATTACTGATGAGAGTCGTACTTTTGTTGAGCATGGGAAATGATAAGTGGGTTTCTTCTCGATCTTATTGTTTTTCCATTCTAAGCCTTGGTGTGGTTCAAGTCTCAAAGACATATTTCATGAATAAGTAGAGAAATGGCTAATATATCTCTCTTGAGATTAACTAGCTGTTATCTGCAGCAAAAACACCAACCAACACAAACTCTTTTTGCCTACGGGATTTTCTTTAAAAATCTTTTCAAAAGAACATGTTAATTCACTTCTGTGCTGATGTGTGAGTCTCCAAAGGTTGAGTTGCGGCAGAAGGCGAAATTAATATTGTTCGTTAAAAAATACAAACCAACAAAAAAATTTGAAGCCGAACTACGACTGCTCTGATTCCTTAAAAGGGATACATAGGTATTGGGGTAGGTCCCAAACGAGCACAACTTTTTTATTTTCCATACATTATTTTCTCTTTTCTTTTGCATGCATTCTATGTACAATTTAGATATAAATTCTTACACACCCTTAGATTAGAACAACGAGAGTGGATACCGTAGAGTACTACGAGCGTGTGAGGTGCTAATACCTCCCCCTCGCATAACAGACTCCCTTACCCAATCTCTCGGTCATTTGATCATGATTTCACCCTTCTCGAGTTTACTCGATGTTTACCTTTCCCTTCCTGTGGGATAAAAAACATTTGATGGCGACTTCATTGATTTCATTGTCAGTTGATTGTTCAGCCGGTTGTTTCACCCCACTGTGTAACAAAAGTGGTTTTTTCCATGTCTTCGGGTCCCATTTTGATTTGGTTGTAACCCGAGAAACCGTCCATGAAGGAGAACACTTTATGTTGAGCAGTATTGTCAACCAAGACATTAATATGTGGTAGAAGAAAGTCATCTTTGGGGCTTTCCCTATTTAAATCCATATAGTCCACACACATACGGACCATTCCATCTTTCTTAGGCACTGGAACAACATTTGCAACCCATTTAGAGTACGGCGTCACTGCCAAGAAACATGCATTGAATTGTTTCATTACCTCAGCCTTGACCTTCTCAAACATATATGGCCGCATGCGACGAACCTTTTGTTTGATTGGAGGACAACCCTCTTTCATTGGCAGACGATGAACTACGATATTAGTATCAAGCCCTGTCATATCTTCGTATGACCAAGCGAACACCTCAAAATAGTTGTGTAACATCTGAACGAATATGCCCTTGACACTACCTTCCAGGTTGGCGCCAATCTTGACTTCTTCCTTATCTGCCTCAGTACCCAAATTTATCACTTCAACTAGTTCTTCATGTGGTTGAATGGCCTTTTCCTCTTGTATCAGGAGTTTGGCGAGTTCCCCGGGCATCTCACAATCTTCTTCACCTTCGTCTTTGGCTTGATAGATTGGATTTTCAAAGTCATAGATGGCAATAGCAGAATTGTTGTCAATGAGATCCGGAGTGGATGTGGATCTGCAAATGTGTGTGTGCGTAAGGTCACATGGCTATTTGAAAACGTAGTAAAGTAAAGAAAGACAAGGAGCATAAAATTTGAATGCAAAATAGTCCAATGTTTTCATTAAAATGAGCATATGATATATGAAAATGACAAACCCTTAACAAATGGACCATTGTGCCCCGGGAAAGGCACATGGTTTAAAGTCATTGTTTTAAAGGATATTACAGACAAATTTCTCAAAGCAATAAAAATAGGAAATGGCAATTACTCCTGGCTGAAGGAGATTGAGATGAAGTATTTGGTCTGCCAGTTATTGAGTCCTCCGTCAGCAGTTGGGTAGATCCAGTTGTCCCAGTCACCATCACTATCGGAATCTCCCAGAGCGTTAACTTCATTGTTGCTAATACGGAGAGGTGGTTTCCTAGCATGAGCATGTCGAACCTCTTTCTGAGCCTTGTAAGTGAAGCCTAACCCAAATTTGTCTGACTTGTAGGGGATATTTGGAAGTTGTCCCCAAATGGTGCAACCTCCGTCTTTAACAACAGCATGAGCAACCTTGAGAGAGGCCATTCTTGGTGTATCTTTAGCAGCTTTGGGAGTGGCAAGAGTGGCCTTGGCAACATCAATCATGGGAGGGACCACTTCAAATGCTTGACAGGGGGTTTCAATGAATTCTCCTTCCATTTCAACATATTTGAAGGAATTCAAATGACTCATCATGAACTCCTCCTCTCCGTCGACTATGAAAATTTTTCCTTTAACTGGGTACTTTAGCTTTTGATGTAATGTGGAGGTGACTGCCCCTGCCCCATGAATCCATGGGCGTCCGAGTAGGCAAGAATAGGTTGGACGGATATCCATTACATAGAATGTTGAGTTGAAGACTTGAGATCCAACTTTGATAGGAAGATCAACCTCTCCATGGACCATTCTTTTTTACCCATCAAAGGATCTTACCACGATATCACTTGGTTTCAGCACCAACCCTTCGCAGTCTAATCTGTCCAAAGCACCTTTTGGTAAAACGTTGAGGGAGGACCTTGTGTCTACTAACACATGTGCTAAAGTGATGCCTTTACACTCGATAGAAACATGTATATCTTTGTTGTGGTTCTTCCCCACTGGAGTTAAATCTGCGTCTGAAAATCCCAAACCATTATCAGCAATCAATCTTCCCACACAGTTCTCAAATTGGTCAGCCATAGTTTCTTGTGGGACATGTGCATTTTTTAGGAATTTTAACAGTGCTTGAGCATGTGCTTCGGAACATAATAACAAAGACAACATGGATATCTTTGAAGGTGCCTGCCCCAATTGTTCCGCTATCTTATAATCACTTTTATGGATTATTTTTATAATATCCTCCATCTCTTGGCTAGATGGGTCCTCAATTGCAATATCTTTTGTGGGTGCCTCCGTCCCTGCAGGATCAGTCATTTTTTCCTTTCCTCAAGTATCAGCAACGGGTTTAGCAGCAGAAATACAAATGGGTATTGTAGTTGTGTTTGTCAGAGGAGAGATCTTCGGAGAGAAGATCCTTCCCGTCCTAGTGACTTTACTTGATCCAGCAATATTTGTAATTTCAACAGCTTCATCTTCAGCAATCCATGGCTCTTGTTTGATGCCATGATGATACACTTCCGCCCCATAGTTCTAGGGTAATGCTTTGTCAGAAGAGTAGGGGACTGGCCCCGGTGTGGTGATAATCATGGGAGCTATTCTTGGTTCAGCAGGGATCCTTATAGGGCCTTTGGAGGTGATCCTAACAGGAGTATTTGAAATGGTAATTATAGACACGTCTTCAAACTCTTGAGATACACTTTTGGTCCAAATTTTCACAGATGGATTTTTCTCAAACATAATTTCACGGCAATCAATTCGGCGTTGGACACCTTTTCTCAGCCATATACAACCATTAATTTGTGCGGCACAATGGTAACAGACTTCAAGGCAGCCTGGAAATACTCCGGATTTCAACAAATTCTTTTTAACAGTCTTTAAAGGAGTGGTCAAATCATTAATGGAGGAAACAAAAGAA